ATTAGCGTTAGCACTGGAGGCTTCTCCACTCCGCGACCTGCCGATATGTTTCTCTTACTTGGTGAGTGCCTAACTTTCCTCTTCTTCCAGACTATGTTCTATGTTTGCCAAATTTCATCTAGATCCATGCAGCCGTTCTTGAGATACCTTTAATCAAACATCCATCTCTCCAATCGCATTTATATTATTAGTAAAATTAAATCTAGAAATATGCTTTTAAAGAAAAGGAAAAATTTCTAAGTTTTATTTGTTAATTTTTTGATATATTTAAGTTATATCTTTATGAATTGTCCTAGTTTAAGAAAGCCAGTTTGTCTAACGATAATTTTTCCGTTTTTTTTTCAGATGAGCACTGCGCACTTCATACTATATCTAAAATTTAAACTAAAAAAAAAACCTAAAGAACCAAATATTATGATTAATGTACTACCTACATGTAATTTATTGGATATGAACTTGTTTGTCTGTCTGTCTGTCTGTCTGTCACAACGTCCGCGACCTACTGAAGGGCTGATTTATGAATTTATTTTGTATTTATATACAAAACTTGGAAACTAACAAGCTGATGATGAATTTTTATATCATTTTTTAAACTAAAAAAATATTTTTTTTTTGTAATTTTTTTTTAAATCAACTATAATAAGTACTGTTTAGCGTAAGAACAATTATTATTGCTTGATTTTTATATTGTTTAAGCACAAAAAAATACTAAAGAACAAGTCTATTTTAAAAATTATTTATCCATTTAAGAATTTGTCTAAAAAAAACTGCTAGAAATTACGGTTTTTGTATGTTATATAATTTTATAAAATAGAAAATTATGTTCTTATTCGCGCAAAAATAAAATATATTATTTGTACGTATTATTCCTCTGTTTTTATATTAAAAAAAATGGCGGTTTAAATTGTTTTGTAAATTAAAAATGTATTTAGGGTTACCATAAAACCTAAATAATTGAACTATTTTGGTAAAATACAGCATTAAAGGCCTATTTGGTTTCAAGTGCATGGCAACCCTGAATATATTTTTCTTTATATTTCTACATAATTTGGCACAGAAATATTGTGAAAGTTTAAATCTGACATTTAATAAATAATTTAATTTGTACAGCCCCACTTGTTATCTGCCTGTCTGTCCCTTTCTCGTATTCGACTTGAAGATTGACGTGTAACTTTTTACAAGACATGCCAAATATAAAGTAACAAATTAAATTTATTATGTTGTTTATTTTATTCGTTTCTAAAATGATGATTATTGTGAAAAAAACAAACTTGTAAATTTTCGTAAATCGAATCGCACAAGATTCACGCACATTCGTACTAAAGACAACATTTTGTCGTTTTAAAATAATTCTCGAGTAATGCAAATAGACAAAACATATTGCGCGCGAAAAATTACATCTCTTTACGCTATAAAAATGGCCGTAATTTTTGGAACGATTACGTTTTTCGAGTAAACATTATTTCGTGAAATTGACAACTTCTTTTTATATTATGTAGTGTTTACAACATTTTTGTACCTTTACAATAAACTTAAAATTCATTCATTACTGAGAAAAATACTTAAATGATATAAATACAATGAAAATTGCGCCAAAAAGTTCGCGCCCAAATTAAACCTGAAGAGAACTACGGTTAGTTTTAAGTCTATGGGTGTAGAGAATGGGCTATGGTTTGCCTTTAAATTAAAAAAAAAATCCTACACCCAAAAGAATGATAACTTTGTGTTGCTTTTCTATTTATAAAATTGTTTGGAAAATTATAATTATTGTTTCAGTATTTTTTTCGAATTAAGCACAAATAATTTATATATGTCGGCTTTTTTGCTATCGCGTTGTTTTTTTTTTAATTAAGCATCTTTGTCTTAGATAAGTTATGTAGATGTATAATTAAGGTGAAACCACAGACTAAAGCACATTGGATATGCTTAATTTGACTTTATAATGTGTTTTAACAAAAATATATAATACTTAAACATTTTCAGATGTCACAATTTGTCGAAAATATCGGACTTTTCAAAGTTTCAACAATCCGGTTATAATTTTATTCACTTATAAAGATGGAGAATCGATTACATTTTGCTTTCAGTCGGGCCCATCGACAACGAGCAATGACTTTTCTTATATGATATGCCTTTATTTGCTTCAAGGATTGGAATTTATGTTTTATGCCAATACAGTGAGACAGAATCGCTCAAAATCATTACTGGAATAATGTTATCATTTGTGTCCATGCCAGGACAGCGTCACTGTTTTACTGTACTGGTATAATGGAAGCCAAGCATCAATGATCATCTCTTACAGTAAGACATTGTAAAATGCATGATAAGAGGTCACTCTAGAAATTATTGAGGGTTGAGATTTAACATCTTTGATGACAAGGGCTGTGGTTAGAGGTGACTAACAAGTAAAGTTCAAGGTTCACAGGATTTGTTTTTTTTTATTCAAGTGAATAAATATTAATTTACATGTAGATGCATATATTCCATGCTCAATTTACAATCGCGGAAATGTTACGTTGACAGAAATAATTTGACATATTCCTTGTATTTGTATCTCGTAGGCATATCAAGCAATTTGCTCCCACTTTTTATTACTGTTTACACCAAATCATAGAGTTTTGTAAGTTTTTTTTTCATGTTAGGGCAAATTGATATCCAAACAACATGCATCTAATCGTCTGTGTAATGAATATTTCGCATTATGAATATTATTTTCATCTGTCCAATGCAGTTTCCAAGCAGCCAGAATTATCAAGTTCGAAAATCAAAATACGTCATTATAACAACTGTCAACGATGACAGATATTTTGGCGGGAATTCTCATTGAACAGATTATGAAACGTAATTTCGGAGTTAAGCTATGGTGTGCTAGTTCTACGCATAGTGAATAAGACTTTTTTAAATGATAACAATTTTTTTCTACTATAACGGCTTCTTTTCCTATCGGTGTATCGATAACTCTTAGAATTATATATTGTATGTATATGTACGACGGTATTTAATGGAAAGTTTGAAAGCTCCATATTTTTATTTCTATTCAGACCAATTTTTCTCACTTTTACATCGTGTTATTGGAATGGACTGCCATATTTTATCCTTAAACTGTAATTTATATACTTAAACAGGGCTATGTGCATCCGGACTTTGGATTTTTGATGGGCAACATTAAATTTAAAATAAAATAAACTTTCAAAATAAGAGCGGGACTTCGAATATATTTTGACAGTCCGCCATTACGCGTTCAGAAATGAAATTCTGTCGTCAAATCCTAACCAATGTAATGCCCTTACATCTGATAAATAAAAGAAAAACGAAGGATGTGTAAATTAATTTTTATTTGCTAGTCCACGTCTTTGATATGTTAAAAATAATTATTCTTAGTCGTGTAATACTAAATGTATTGTGTAAAATATTTTTTTTTTTAGTTATTATCAATAAATTAAATTTTGTTTATTTTACTCGTATGTTTTCTTTCTTGTCCTGCTTAAAGTATGAATGTTGTTAGTATTATATTACATACGATTATAAAATACATTTTACAATACAATAAACGAATGAATATGGTGTTTTCTTTCACATTTTCCCTATTGACCTAATCCATAGCAGAGATGAAATTAAGTAAAATAATTAAACCCTATAAGGGCTTGTAATCAGAGTCTACAGATTCAGAAACCTAGAAAAAGTTTTAGTACCAATCCTGTTAAATTATGTAGTACACCAATTAAATAATTCAAGTTTTATTGAAATTAATCTTAAGCGTATGTTGGCATAGAGTCATGAATTCAACTACGATAATGACGCGCGCCACATCCCACTGAAATTGCAAACCAACGTACATGAAGAATCGAAATAAAACTTATAATAAATACAGAAGATAAGTTTGATTCTTACTATACCCTTTGTTCATAACACAAATGTGTCAAACTGACGATAAATATTTTAAGTAGATTTGAAAACAAGTTTGCTCCGATATAAAATCATAAAGGAGAAAGCGTACAGTTTTTAACTTTAATAGGGTATTAGAGAACAGAATAGTATATCTGAATGTCTATTTTATTTAGTATAATATTTTTCTTTCGTGTGTGTACGAAGCCTAATGCCGGCTTAGTTGTGGCAACATTTATGAGTGAACATGTCAGTCGGCGAGGCAGCGTTATTGCGAAAACCTTTGGCGCGAACTCGAGGTTTTCGCTAAGTGGTCATTCGTTTAACGCGATCGGCCAATTAGGACGTTCAACCCAAATAATATTTTAATTATTCTAAATACCAAGATAAAATGTTGACTTTTTGCTAAAAACATGCCAATTAGAGTAGAGAGAAACTGTTTCCCGCATGCAGCGTTATCCAATTGTAGACAATAAGTTGTTGCCTAGGAAATCTGCTGGCAGGAATGATCCAAGACTTGCCCAAATTAACAGTTTGACGATAACGTAGCTTGGTACCCTGAGCACCTTTTGGTGCTAAGAATATGTGTCATCCTGTACCCTTTATAACTTGGTTGACGACAAAAAACTGTCTTCGATTTTTTTAAGTATCAGGATTATCATTTAAGATCGTAAGTTAAACCGTAAAAAGATTGAAAATAACTGTTAAAACCTTTTTAGTTGTTTTGAAATATTATAACTTGCAAAACAGGTTAATAATATGCTATCCTTAAGTCGGTCTCATGAGAAACTCTTTGCACGTATATAAACGAGGTTAGTGGTACAGATTTCAATGGCTGTTGTACCCGTGATCCCGTGGTCTACATCCCGATGCCAAAGTGCACATGAATCATTTCCTTGTTTTTGCTTAAAATCCGTTGTAATGTAAATATTAATCGACAGATATAGTGCTATACAAACTTTATGGCCGCTCGCTATTATGCTCACGATGTTGAGCAACATAAACTGTTGGAGAATTCATACGTATAATTTATACAAGATTTCTAGGTATCGGATAAGATGTTAAGTAAAGGGGGGAGCATAAGGAGCAGGACATCCCATTTTACTCACGCTTTCCTCTTCTTGCCACCACGGGTCACAAACATAACCTTCTCAGACCTAAAACTTTTTTTATTAAATTGAAATAAACGATATTGCAAGACCATCTTGAAGTTGATAAAGTTTGAATCTTAAAATAAGTGTAGCGTGCGCGGCGTTTGGGAGGTTGGCGCGGGGAGAGTGGAGGGCTACGGATTTAGACTCTGGCACTCATGCCGCGCAGCTGTGGTGGCCATACTTCCAGCTACATTGAGTCAGACAGCTGCAACGCTTAGTTTATTTTTTCGATTAAAGGAATGTATTTGAACTTACTCTTTAGCGAAAATTAACACATTTTTTGTTTGTAAATGTGATTGAGAACTATATGTACTTTGTATGAATGGAACAGCGTCGTAAAACAAAAGTATCAAAACGGAATTTCTGTTTGCATTATAGAGACAGGATCCATATACACGATATTTTAATCTGAATTGCAAATTATTGATAACCGTCCTTTTAACTTACGAATGCTACAAAACGTCTTTAAAATGTACTACGACTTTCTTTGAAAAGATCACAAACAGATATTCCGTCGTCATTGTCGCCGCCATCATATTTTACTTGATGTCATTTTTCTTTGTGTCGATTCATTGAGGTCATCGTCCTGCACTGGTCGACGACAATATAATAAAAAAGCTAAAATAATCAAAGATAAATACTTACTATTGTGTACACATAAGAAAATTGTAAAAATCACGAACACCCTATACGGAGAGAAGCTCTGCCGCATTATGCAACGATTCAAAATTTGAAAACTTATTTTCGTTAGTCTGTAAGCAACACGCGTCGAAGTCGCACGTCTGGTATAAATCGAACGGTTTTTATTGTGCTGTTTTTTTCGTGTATTGTGCAAATTAATATTTTACAGTGACAATATTGAGCGAACGTGAAGTGTTTTTTCGCCTTTCGTTTTGGCGGCAATTGCTTTCTTTTTTTGACAGGTTGTTTATGCGTTCTACTGCCAGTGTAACGTAATTTTTTAATAAATAAAATTAAAATATAATATTATCTCTAAATGGTACCTATATGTATTTAAAATATGATTTCAGGAAATAATTCATAAGTTAATTATTTTAAATATTTCCCTGTAATAAAGTAACAATGCCAAGAATTGTCTGCTTGTCTGGCAGTACTATCTGCCAAAAATTTTAACGGCTCCGAGATCGATAAAATCCACAAACGTTTTGTTTGATTTTGTTTCTCGATTTTTAAAAAATACATACAAATTTTAATATTAAACTTAATTTAGTATTTAACGTCATTATTCGTTAACGACTTGTTTAAAATCTTCAACTTTGTAAATGCCCTAAATACACTTTTAAATCCCCTTGAACACAAACATTCTGGAATTGTACATACGCTCATAAAATTGTTCTAACGGCCAAGTTTCGTAAACACGCTAGGAATAGGAATAGTATGAAACAGTGTTGCCACACTAACAAAATCATTTTCCCTAAAATTCCTTTTTATTAATAATTAGATATTCATCGATTTCGTATTTACCGTGAAACATAAAGCGCAACTCCCACTAGCATTAGTCAGATATTCTTTTTAGATCCAAAACCTTGATGAACGCGAGCCAAATTATTATTTACAATTGAAATATTTATCTTGCAGTGTTGTAGAGTACATCAAATAAAATAGATATATCGAAGAAAAAAAGTGCTAGAATAGTGTCCAAGATAACTACAAAGCATCAAAGATGATGACGATAAGCGAAAGTCAGTATTCCTCGAACAAAATGTCGAGTATTCACAAGATTAACGATCGTGTGGTCCACAAGGACAGTTTCGACGATGTCAAGAGCTCTTCCAGTGTAAACAGCACTTTAGTCACAAAACGTGGCTTCAAGCCTTCGGATATGTACGATCCACAGAAGAAGGAGTTCCTCACAAACCTCAGTTATAAGTTGTTCCCTGTAAGTTGGGTAAGTCGACTGTTTTAGTTGTAAGGCCAAGCTTTTAACAACGCGGCGTGCTGCAAGGTGCTGTATTGGGGCCTCTTTTTATAATATTTATTTATGATTTTTATATTATATTGAATATTTTATTAATTGTAGTTAGTTAATTAACATATTTTTATGGTGTAAAGAAGAAATACTATATTATTATGCTTTTAACCACAATTTACACTATAAATTTAACCTATTTAGTAGAGAAGTAGCATAGTAGCATTAAAGTAGTTGCAAAGATTTCGAATCGACCGAAGAAAATTCAGTTTAATAACAAAATCAAACGGTTCAAATCTATATATAAGCATTTTTAAGACATCCTACCAATAAATTCTACATTTCCAAGAACATGAATTACAAATTGCATTTTCAACGTAGTCATGAAACATTAGAAGATGAGTGTTGTATGAACCAGTTCAATGACGTAGCTACAAGGTCTTAGTAAACACTAGGTTTTGTTTCACAAACACGTTTCAGGCTTTACATTATAATACTTATGCTTATCAGAAGTACACTTGTGAATCACATTATAAGCAAGTTCTCTTATCAGCTATTGTGTTAATATAATTAAAAACTGCGTAAGCGCAGCTAAAGTACGCTAGTTGAGTTAATCAGCAATATAAATAGACTAGATTTTTCAAGTATGTTTACTGGTTTCTTGAACTGTTGAAACAACTGGAACATATGTGCAAAAACACATTGTAATCTCTTTTTCTTCCATTACAATTATAAGGATAGCAATATACTTAAGATAAACTTACGGTTAACGTCATATTAGGAAATAAGAAGAAAAGATGAAGTTCGAGAGAAAGAAAGAAAAATATCGGTCAAGAACACAATAGTAAAGAATTTAAATACAATTTAGACTCAATGTTACTACAATATGACATGATGGCGGAAGTAAATGCTGAAGTCAATGTACTCCTGTAACCTTGTCTGTCACTTCATCTTGTAGGACCAAGTTTCTGACTACAGTTTAGGTTGACTATTGACAATTTTTCATAGTATTAATATGAGATTTTATTTTGCAATGAGCAGTTTTACGTGAACTTTAGTATTAAGAGCAATGTACCATAAAACTGATAAGAATTCGGTATGAATCGTTTCAAATAATCTTGTTGTGAAGCTCCGAGGAGGCTTTTGGCTCGACTCCAGATGAATTGTTCCTTGAAATTGCGTCTCGTAGTTATTATAACTTTGTGACCAATGTTTAGCAAACTTTGTATTGTAAACATTTGCTATCAACACTGGCTACGTTATGTTTGACAATGTTAGGTGTTGATAATTTCTTGTGTGGAACAACGGATTGAAATTTGAAATACCTTGCTGTGTTACCACATAAAAAAGATCTATGTAGCTCAGTATTCGAAAATAGCACGCTCCTAATTTGTAATTAAAATACACAAACACTTTCAGGAAAATTCATTCTCTTAAAGTTCATAAAATGATGTTTGCGTATAAAAAGTTAACGTCTTCCTGAGATTCGGCGCCGTTCTCAATTACATCAAAAAAAATATTCTTCAGATAATATAAAATTGTGTCCGGATATTTGCGTTTCACTGGAGCGAGCATATTTCCGACACAAGCAGTGGACAGCTTAGCCTATATATTGTTGACGAGTCTAATTATAATGACGTGGACTTTAGACTGACGCGCATGGGGAATGGAAACGAGCACAACGTTGAGTAATCAGGGAAGACTGCTTTTTTGTTTGAGTTAAAAGATTCTAGAAAAGAAATGGTATATTAAAGCATCATGAAACTGCTAAAACTAAAGCAAAAATAGCAGAACTGACGAATAATAAACCCTTTCTATTAAGACACTGATAAACAACACTGTAAAATATTGATAAAGTAACTCTTTAAATAGTCGAATAGTTTGACATTTGAAAATTGAAAAAAAACCAATATGTGCCAGTAATAAGTTCAGGAATATTTTTACTGCCGCCATCTTGCATAAAAAGAAAACGTTTATTTAAGACCGAGAACGACCTAGGAACACTCAAGTGTTCCCGATCAGTCAAAGTCGGACATTGAACTCACAATCTGTTTTTTAAAGTCTGCATATTGAAATTTGTTATTTTTTATTGATTAGCCATTCAGACAGCGAAAGACAACATCGCGTTGAAACCTTTATATATCTGCGAAGAAATTCAAAGATATCAGTGAAGTCAACCCGCACTGAGCAAACGTGTTTGGCTATGGTTTAGTCACCCGTAACTTGGGGTAGAAAGCCCACGTTTGGGACGTGAACTAACAATGATTTTAAATTATCAATCTTTTGATCGAATAACATTTGGGATTCGATAATCAGTGGTCAGTTGTGGTACTGTAGTTCACCTCCATAAAATTTACCCCATTACTCTCACTTCTTTCGATTGTATTATCGAATAATCGTATTTTGAAATTAACATCGTTCATTACTTCAAAAGACGTAAAGTGTTGCAGCCAAATCGTAAACGATTTATGACGCAAAAACACGGAAATAGCTCGAGCGCCGCAAACACTAGTCTGTTCTAGCAATATTTTAGATTTCGTCGATTTTCTTCTAATAATCAGTTAACTGAATATTTTATTATTAAAATATTTATAGGGCTTTATAAATTTCAAATGTGACAGTATCCTTAGAGTGGAGTATGGTACAAACTTTACACAAATGTTTTACAAGAAATAGGGAGATGACAAAACCGGCAACACCATAAATTTATAACGTTATGTTGGCAACACAACTGAATACTTTTTAGGTATGTTATTATTTCCCTACAAAACAGTTGTTTATAATTCTTAGTAATTCATATCAAAGAGATTAATAGTTCTTAATAATCAATAGCTTAAACAAAATAAGATAAAAATAACAATTGCTAGGCGAGCGCAACATCAAAGTTTTTGGGGTAATGAAGATTTTTCTAATCTGGCGCGTTTCTTAGACGGATTGGCCTCAATACTGAAAATATAAAATAAATTTGTGTTTAACATCGCAAATTGGCATGGCGGTCTGGCGATGTTCATGCCAGAGTGTGGCAAATCGCCAAAACTACTTACCCATTCATCATAATCAGAACGTCCCAAGTATATGTCTAATTAATCAAAATTAAACTCAATAAATATGGCGTAAGATCTATTATCACTTGAACGGATTATAATATTTCTGCCAGTTAATAAGTACATTGGGAAGGATTAGTTAGATTTGAGTTGGTAATAATCGCTGATCGAGTATGTTGAATATTCTCGGTATCGGCTAAAGCTCAATGGCCATAATTTTCATAAGGGACTTCGGAAAAATTATCACAGCTAATTCTATAGCCAAACAGTGAATAATTTTTTTTTAAACCTTAAGCTGGTTTTAAATATGTATAATATAACAGTAACGTAATTATAATGCATAATGTATTTGTTATCAATTATTATTTATTAAGTACGAGTTGTTCACAATAACACTTCAAAACATGAATAAATCTAGACTTGATTTAAAAGATAAGTTTACGGGGAATTATGGCGGAAATTATAACAAAAATGTGTTTCTTTTCGGTCGATTCGATTTCGTAGATTAGTAGTTTTGCTTCAGTGTGACAATTTAGAAACAGTGTTGCAAGAACTAAAAATCTTTTTTCAAAATAACCCTAAATAATTTTTAAATATGTTAACACTACAGAATGACGCAGATGCTCGAGAAGTTCCCGAAACAGTACCACTGGATATAAAATCAGTAAGATTTAATTCGTAAACGTCATGGACTCAGTAGCGCCATCTGTAAATATGGTTAATTCGAAAATGATAAAGATTTCATTGTTTTTCTTTGTAATTTGTCTATGAATATATTTTCAAAAAGAAAGGATAAATTCAATCATATTCAAATTTTTTGTCTAATGATAAAATTGGATATTTAAAAAAAATCGAGCTTTGATTAGTTGGACAATTGTTTTATACTATCTTTTCTTTTTAGTTTTTCTTATAAATATCTGTATTACTTCAAAAACTACAATTGGACACTGTTTAGTTAACACGTGTTTTAACCCTTTCACCGACGCCGATTAATATATAAAATATTTGTAACCAATACTGTTTTTAATACTCATTTATTTCTCAATATCCCGTTTCAGAAGCCATCGTATATTTCAATAATCCTGATTTTTTGTAATGTCTAATATCAGTGCGCTAGAAGGGTTAACATATGTTTAAGCTAAAATATCATTGAAGTTTTTTATTAGATGGGTCACTTGAGTTTATGTATTCTTTACCGAAGTCAACAAAGTTGATGTAAATATTTCCTTATAATTCTGTAAAATCTTAATTTAATAATGATAAAATTTTAATGTTGTTGCCATCTACACTTTTTTTAAACTACAATTTGTAGCTTGCATCATTATTGTGATTTATTTGCATGTGCATGTAAGTTAAATATTATTATTAACCGTAAATTTAAACATTAACGAACATCAAGAAAAACATTTTATAGAGTATAAAGTTTTATAGAGTAAAAAAGGAAGCGGTCACGGAACTTCGTCAAAATAGGGAAGTGACCGGTGCCCATAGGTGTCTGCATTTGCTCATTCCTTGCGGATATTTCTTCTACCTATATGTAAGGGACATATTCCATCCTTTCCATGGACGAAAACAGTAAAAAATTGTATTTAACAATTTCAAATATTTAGCTTGCCTGTATTTCCCATAGTAGTTATTTTTTTTTAATTTGACTTCGTATCTTAGTAACCTCCCTACAGATAGATTGTCCACAATTGCAACCCTAAAAACTCGTACATAACATTTAGCTTAAATTCGAAGACGTCGTAAAAAGGTTTTATTGAGTACAAAATATAATCTGTGTTGACTTTACAGCGGCTAATGGCTAAGAAAACTTGGGCATTGGGTGTATTACGCATTTGTATATAACTGTAGACTCGTTTATTATGTATCTGGACTAGACTTTATTAGATTTACAACTTTTTTTTAATTTTCGTCGTAACTTTCAGGAAGACTTGGAGAACAAGCCTGTGATCGTGGACGGCAAGGAGGTCGACCTAAACAAGATCTTCACACCTGCGCCTGATGCTGAAGAGCATCTTATCAAGAAAGATCGCAAATTCGGTATAACTTTTGTATTTAAATTAGACATTATGACGACCATCTTAAAATAAGTGTGTGCCTTTTTTATGTCGCGTAGTTTTTTTTCGCGCAGTTTTTGGCAGTTTTAGCTAAAGTAGCAACACTTGCAAACTGATTACAACGCACTGATCAACAAAGATTTTGTATTTATAGCAATGCTTATTCATAATTAAATATTAAATTATCTCCCCACAGATGATAAAATTCAGATTTGTATTATTTCAGAGAAAACATTTGCATCGTCAGCATTCTATGTGCCGGGCGTGCACCCAACAGTACAACAGCAGATGGAGCTTGCGCGCGCCATCTCTCGGTCATTGAGTGACTCCAGCAACCACAGCAGTCGCGGTCAGAGCATGTACGTCAACCGCAAGAAACGCTCCGTCAAATGGGTGCACGAAGGACGAGGTAAGAATAATGATAACATAATAAAGACATAATGGAGCCTACAACAGCAGTATCTGTAATTTATTAGAAGCGCCTATTTTAATAAAACAGCAAAAACAAGGCGCTATAATTTTTTGGATTTAAAATTTTCAGGTCGCAACACATCGAACATGAATTCGACTCCGACACCGGTCGCTAACCACGACACTCCATATCGTCCGCCGTCGAGCTTACGCAACCAAAAAACTTACCCGAAATCAGCACTCAAACATACATCGAACCTGCCAAAGATGGAGCCATTCCCAGTATCTCCGCCAACAATAACATTACAGAATATAGAAGTGCCCGTACCATTGGCGCCAACTAAATTGAACGATGTCTATGCTTCACCCAAAAGCCCGCGCTTGCCGCTTGTCTGTGGTCCAAATTTCAACGTCGCGCCGCGCGGTTGGGGCGAGATGCAAGATTATTATCGCCCCGTGTCGCTAGATGGCGTTGGAAAAGTATCAGCTGGCTACACAGATTATTAATTTTATATAAAAACTCTTTTTTGTTATTTATACTTAGGAGTTAACTAAAAGTGCCTTAAGACGCTAAATAAACCAAAGGGAAAAGTATATCACTATTTTTATATCTAAGAGTATACGATGAATATAAAATCTTAAAATTCCGGTAAAAAGTTCCAACGTAATTAATGTTTAGTGAACTTAAAAGAAAATTACCAATTTAACTGCTTCCATCAAGATTTATTTGTTAAGTATCTTTTTATTTAACAAAGTTGCAATGTTTTCGTAAAAAGACCTCTTACAATATTGAGACGATGTTGTAGATGATGTCTCCTGGACATGAAGAAAGTTTAAAAAAAAACATTCTAATTTTAAAAATGATTTTAATATTTTATTCCTTTATGATAAAGATTTGTTTAAGTTTAATTCGTTTTTTTTTATTTTTAAATTAAAATTATTTCTGCTGGATGATTTTAATAAAAAAATGACATATGTGGAATAAATTTCTTGCCTAAGAATGCATTTGGTTTATACATTTAAAAAAATATGCAAATAATTACTCCGGACTTTTCGCGTTAATTTTGTTAGTCTTTAAACTAGTCAAGTTTATTATATTTGTGATTAATTTTATTATCAATTGTTATTTATTAACTGTTTACCGTTGTCTTAAACTAACAAAAAGAATTATAGCCTGACAAGAAATATAAAACACCTCGCCATACCATACCGTATTGAAGTAGGCGATTGACGCTCCCCATGACATGTTTCCTATTTTCTTAGTCAGGCTATAAGTAAGTCAATGTTGCCATAATGTATTTATTTCGTCGGAGTTACAATAAACTATGAAAATTGTTCATTGTCTTATTTATATCCTGAAAAAATATATTAATTATTTTAGAGTAAACTAGCTGTCGCTTGCGACTCTGACCGCGCGGAATTAAAAAACAAACACTATTAGTAACCTATGTGTTTTTCATGACTATGTTCTATATGTATGCATAATGAACAACAAAAAAAAAATAACATGTAGACTAGCGCATTCTGGCATCGCTGAGGAAACTTCACTTCTTTTTAATTTAAATTGTTTATACTAACATTAGTTTTTTAAGCTATTACTAACCCTAGAATAAGAATATGGATCCATGTTATCTGAGATAAATAAATTATTATTAGTATAATTTCATCGAGATGAAGAAGAGAAGAACGGATTTTCAGCCGTTTTGGAGATACCTTTAAACAAACATCCATTCATGCATCCATCTAAACATTCGCATTTATAATATTAGTAAGAAGATGGAAATAAGAAGGTTAATGCCTTTACTCAGCATTGTGTTTATTACTTTAGTAGAAATGATTGCTGATATTTTCAAAAGCCTATTACACTTTCGTTATACACAATATATAAATTGATTACGAAACATTGTATTCATATTGTTTGTATGTCGCAATACACGCGTTGCCTCACGACTCCGTCTGGGAGAAGGGAGGTCCTTGTATGAAGTGTTAAGGTATAAACACATAAGGTCTAAAGAGAATGGATTGTTTAGGTTTGAAGATAAATGATAAATGCCTGAACACTTTAAGCTGCGAGTATAAGGTTACATATTTGTTTTTATAACATACGGAGGCAAACGAGCAGCGGGTACACCGAGGTGTTCAACGACGTCTATGGACATCAGTAATACCAGAGGAATCACAGATGCGTTGCCGGCCTTTGAGATGGGATTCGCTTCTTGAAGGACCCCAAGTTGTAGCGGTTTGAAAATACCGCCGAGGACAGACCATTCCACATCGCATTATAAACAGAATTTGCATTTTTTATGACCAAAAAATCTACTCCATATTATAAAATTAATTTGATTGATAAAAGTTAGTTAATATGTTATTAAAGTTAGTACTTAACTGATATAAAAACGGCTAAACACTCACGTATATTCGTCCGGTGGCGGCACCGACTAGTTTCGAGCCCAACGGGGGCCCTTCATCAGGATGAGTGGTACTGGTATTATTTCGCGGAAGCGGCCCGTTGCTCACTGTTAATAGTACTTACTTACTATGAATGGATGATTGTTAGAAGGTATCTTAAGAACGGCTTGAGTGATCCAATTTGACACAGGTGTAGAATGCAGTGTGGAAGAATACATTTTTATTACCCTACTAATTTACTACGATTTTTTTTCATAACGCGCGGACAAAGCTGTTGGCATCACCGTAAGAAAAGTTTTGAGAAAATTTGCTAATGTTTAACCTTTTGAATTACTCATTTGAAATTATCTACGTCCCAGAGCATTCTCAATAAATATTTCAATATTCCATCAACCTGATCGAACTGGTATCGTTACAAAGAGATTCCTTGTGAAATAAATCCATTAGTACGCTGTGTTGGTATGAATAAGGGTATTTTGTTAGGCACAGAGTGTAATCTACATTTTATTATATTTAAAAAGCAATAACTGTCATTGATTTTGTGCGAAAAGTTAATCCGAACCGGTAAGAGAGGCGCTACTGTCGCTCCTGTCATAAAGTATGTAAAACGTACTTAGGCATAAACAATGACAACCACTGGTTCTTGAGACCAAAATCTCTGTGTAAAACATTCAAGTGTCCTGTCATCTTTGAGGAAATATATTACTTACTCTGCTGGAGCATCGACCCAAAGTGGGTCTTGGCCTCCGACGCAAAGTCAACTGTCTTGCGCCTTCTCCTGCCAGTCCATCGCTTGTAGCTCCCGCAGATCCAGCTCTACGGCGTCTCGCCAGCGGTACCTGGACCGACCGATGAGTCGGCGACCAGTCGGGGTCCCGAGATATGCTGCTTTGGCCTTTCGATCTTCCCCCATCCTCATGAGGTGAGAAAATTATTAACAATTTTAAATTGAGATTTTAGTTGCAGAAATACACGGTAAAAGATATGACGTAAGTATAGTACGACTATTTTGACAGACAGAAGGGCGCTAGTGAGCTCTTATAATTTAGTCTAACTTATGCCCTCCGGGTCAGATAAATTTGTGGGTCTGTAAAAAGCAAAAACTTTTTTTTTACTTTTATGTTTTGGTTTTATCTAATCAAAATACAGGAAATTTGATAATATCCAGGAAGTTGTAAGTTCAATTAAAGATAATTAGGTTCGCTGCAAAAGTTTGTGCGTAAGAGACAAGCTCCGCAAGCTGGCGACCGGTTCTTCAACTTGTGTTTAATCGAAGATCCGTAAACATAATATAAAAACCCTAAAAATACAACTACAAAATAAACAGCAGCACCTCTGTCTCAAGTGATTTAATTCAATAAATTTAAAAATCGACATAAACTGTTTAATTGGACACGTTTTAACCTTTTGAACGCCGGTCGAAAAAAATTGACGGCAAAGTGGTTATATGTTTCACCATAATTCACACTCTACTTTCGGTATTAGTAATTCGTTATTAATTGGTCAAGAACTCATTTTCAAAGCCTACTAATAACGTTTTCAATAGCCATAATTTGTCTAAAATCCGAGTCAGGCGTTAATTTACAAAATACAAGTACGGAACTCACATATGAAAAACTATTCGCGCTTTGTTTGCGATTTTTTAGTAAGTTTACAAAGGTCTCCCACACTAAAGTAAGCTCTAAGGATCTGAGAACAGTTCTTCCCCACAGCCTGTGTTGTTCAGTCGCGTATGTTGCCTTACGAGCACAATATGAAAGTAATCAATTATTTCTTGTAATAAAAGTTTAATACTGGTGCTTTTTCAAAGTAAGTTTATAAAATAATTAGTTTTGTTTATTTTGTTGTATGAATTTTGACAATAATTTACATCTTACTAGCAGTTTACCGCGATTTCTGAAATAATTTGCAGTTCACTCACCTGTAATCTGATTTGATCCTGGTAATGTGGCTCAAGTTAAATAGAAAACAAATGTCCAAATCGCAAATTGACCTTTGTGCAACTAAGTCAATAGACTATCCAACATGGCGTCAATTCTAATCTAAATTACTTTCCAATTTCGCATTATTAAAATACAAAGATTCCCCATCAAGGGATGTCGTATCGTTTGACCAAACAATTGACGGAATTGTTTTGCGTACTCGATTCGCAATTGTTGTCAATTATTTCAATACGGTGTCACGTTCGTTCAACGTAATGTATTTATGTACAGGTCAAAAGGTCAAAGGTAAAATACTTTGGATCAGTTATTAAGAAAAAGACAAAGGTAAAATGGACGTAGAGCCTCAAACGTCATTGTAACTACAAATTACAATTTTTTATAATCTTACTAATATTACAAATGCGAATGTTTAGATGGATCGATGTATATTTGAAGGTATCTCCGAAACGGTTCAACGGATCTTGCTGAAATTAGCATAGACGTAGAACTTAATCTGGAAGAACAGATAGGCTACTTAATAAGTTTTTTTTAATTCCGCGCGGACGGAGTCGCGGGCGACAGCTAGTCATAATTAAATCAAATCTTCAAACCTGTGACCAAAAGTTTGTTGAATAATTATGACATTCCACAGTCATGCTTTAACTATGTATTTGCCCATATTGCATGCAATAATATTAATCGAATTCGCTCCCCTCAGGTACAAATCTAAAAGGGACATGCAATACGAACCTGTATTCGGTAAACTGTAGAAAAAGACATAAGCATAGAACATATAGATAGATGTTATAACTAGGAATTTGGACGTATAATTGTTATAATTTATTTACGAGTTAACATGTTTATTTAGAAATGTATTTTTGGCAGCTTGCCAAATCGATAACCTATGGTTTACGGAGAAGATGCTTATTTATAAAATTAAACCTTATTCAATTAATAATTGTAAACTTTGAATTAAGTAACTATGCGATGCAAAATGTCAGAGTTTTTTGAACTTTGCCTTACGTTTGTACTAACCTGTTCAGAGCCAACTTGAACTCAGGTACTCGAAATCAATATATCGAAGGTGTAGTCTGTTTAAATTTACTTAGGTAGTTAAATTAGACATGTCAGCTGTCACAGTAGCCTGGTACGATATGTGGAAAAGTAGTACATGCCTTTACGTATATAAACTCCAACTAATATTTAGCAATCTTACTTAACTACGGAAAGTGTAGATAAATGTATTGATAAATATCGACGTAATTCCAGAAGTATTTTGTTTTGACACCAACACAGCAACGAAATACTGTTTTTTTACGAGATAGAAGTCGCGGGCAGTAGCTATCTAGTAGTATTTATGTCTCTAACTGACTTCGGAGTGAATTTAGCGTGATCAAATTCGTATTTATCCACGAAGAGTAATTTCAATTGTTTTTATTTTAATTTTATACATTGAAACATAGATTGTATTAAGTTATTAAAGTTGTAAGACGTGTTACATAAAGTCTGAGCACATTCAGCAGCTCTCAGTCAACAAACCTCGAGTTATGCAAACTTATCACTTTCTAGTTTTATAATCGATGTCTTTTATACACAGAGTCATATGTATGTCTAAATCACACAATTTAGGCACAAACTATAAATTTGATTGAACCAAGAACTTATAAGAACGCAACACTGTTAAAATGGAATTCCCAATGCATACAAATCGTATTTGGAGGGAAAGACCATGTCTTAATCGAATATACCTATTCACATAATATTATAACCTTTAAAACTCGTGTCACGTGTCTCCGACCAAAATACAGATTATAAAGAATTTAAAAAATAATTATTGCAAATATACTAAAGAATGTTTCTAGTACATTCCTTGTACGTTTATAAACTAACAAAGAACTTGCAGCATAGAAATATGACATCTTATACTTACCTAAAATGAATTCCCATTTATAGGAAGCAAGCGATATCATTCTGTTTCCTTGTTCGCGCGCTAACGGTACAATTTGCGGATATGTGCTCGTTATAATCAGTTTATACGTCAAATCTGGAATGACTGGCGCGTAAACTGACGTTCTGCTAGGGATGACACACTTTTTATTTTTAATTGCAACTGTTTAAAATAATAGTTTAATTTATAACCATATAATAATTATTAAAAATAAATGTATGTTTTAATAAAAACCAACAATGAACAATGAAATGAGTGAATAAATGAATATTTGCTGCGTCTACCTGAACCAAACCCACACTTTTTTTTTACTTTAATCATTTACCTGCTCTCAGGATACTACTTAATATTAAAGTTGCATTACTTTGTATCTGATAAAGTGCATAATGCTATGTTTATTTTAAAATGAAATAAATCTTTCAAATCGGTTCGATAGTTTCGAAGCCCAAAAAGGAAACAATCACATCCTTATATCGTTAGTATGGTACATGTGTTTTATTCATTAAATTTACGTCGTGAGACAGAAAATAAACACTTGATAGACTTTAGATCCTCCATCATGATGAAGTTTCGAGATTTTCTTTGAGACACCCCCCCCTCACCACCTCTTTCGAGAATCACGTGATAAATGCAAGACAACATAAGGCCGTATTTTGACCAATTTGCTGCAAGTAATACACACATGTTGTGGCAACCCTAATGTGACATTTTTTAAACAGTCGCGCAAACGACACGCGTGTATCGTTTGCCTTCACTTCACAACAGTTTTACAACGTGTTGGAGCGGTTGTGTGTTCGCTTATTTACTGTTAAATAGTCAGTTTTCACTTTCGTAATTCCTGTGTTACAATAATACAACCGTCCTTTACATTCTCTTTGTAAAAATAGAGACAACAATCAGTTTTAATATTAGTTGAAAATCAAACAAACGTTTATCGTGACCTGTGACATTAGTGATTAGTGTTTGAATCAAAGACCTTGAATTGTAAGTTATTATTATTATTTTAAAACTGCACTAACTACAAGATATTACGAGTTTATATTTAGTATAATTTAGTATACGACTGTGTGCATGATTAATGTTAAAAATTAAATAATGTTTGTATTCTTAACCATTTATCGGCACTCCAACGGCACTCCAAATAAAACATCCAGAAATCTGTAATCCCCGAAATTAGGTTATGTTTTTTTACTAAAAGATATAAAGAAATCAATAATTGAAATTACAAATTTTTATTATCTATAGTTATAGGTTACCTCTAATATTATTTGGATATTAATTATTAAAGTAATTAAAACGTTACATCACTTACGGCTTAATGAAGAAAATTTCTCAAAGTCGATGTTTTATTTTTAATATACAATATTGTAAAACAAGTGAATGCGAGTACATTCGCGGGGAATTAAAATAAATCTTAATTAGTAGTCTATGAGTTCTTCCCGACTATGTTCTACATCTGTAACAAATTTCATCAAGATTCATTTAGCCGTTTTGGAGATAACTTGTAGATAATAAATATCCATACATCCAAACATTCGCATTTATATTAATAAAGAATACTGAATATTTTTTTAAACGTGTAATAATATATTCTTCCTAAAAAATTACCATTATTAACTTGAATTCAATGCCAACGACATTTTTTTTAATCTCAAGTCATTAAGAATGCAAACATTTTTTTTGCTGTTTTTTTTACGCAAGTTAAGTGGAATATAAGTATGTTTTGATGATTTTAGTTAAGGCATTTTAAAATTAAAACATTTCGAGTAAGCGTGAAATATTCTTGTTATATTGCCGAATAATACGACGTTAGTTGAGCAAAACAGTCAAGAGCGTCAGTGGTTCAGGAGTTAACCACTTAACTTGTAATCTACATGTCCTGGATTCAAATTCCACCATGTACCAAAGTATTTCGATTTACATATGTACATTTATCCGACTTTTTATGGTGAAGAAAAACATCGTGATGCTGCACGCGAAGTAATTAAGTATGTGTGAATTCTGTGGCTTAGTCACCCTTAACTTAGGGTAGGCTTCGAGCTCCTCAGTGGGTATACTGAGCTGATGATGAAGATTGTAAAGTATATCTTTATTTCACTTTTTAAGTTAACTATTTTGAGGAAACTGTGTCATAGATAGATAAAGAAAAGAGTTTTAGTGGAAATAGTGTTTATGCGATGTTGTTAGCATAAAATAGAGTTTCAAAACTGGTTTTAAGATTACCAATTATTTCGGTTTACAAGGTACTTGTTTTAAATAACCGGCAGATAATGAAATCGTTTATTCTAATTTTCCCCGGTTAGGCAGTTAAAGTCCTTCAACTTTGAAATTTATGTTTGTTATCGAGGTTTTTGTAATTAATCGAAACTCATGCATAACGTGTGCAAAATTATCGTAAAATTTTATCGTTTATGCCTATAAAGATTTTACTAAGGAGTAGTTACTAGAATTTTATATAATCCATACATTTAATTATGAACATACTAGCTTCCGTCCGCGTGGATATATAAAAAACTTAATTAGTGTAGCCTATGTGTTCTTTCGGACTATGTTCTATACTTATGCCAAATTTAATCGAGATCCGGTCAGCTGTTCTAGAGATATCTTCAATAATAACTAGTTATGTGTTAATTTTAATATATCTGAGAAAAAATACAGTGAGGCAATTAAAGATATCAAAGGTTAATGTCAAGGTTAACGTATCATGTCAGGATTTCTTACTTTTATTATTATACAAAGAAATATATAAATCAAAAATACTTACATCTATGTATGTTCATTTACACTGTGTTCTACTTACATAGACAACTAATCTGGAACAAGGCACTAATCACTAAAGGATGGCAAAAATTAACGTCTCCGGAAACCTTTGGTTGTATTTATGCAGCTGACTGTACTTTTAGACATTATTAATTATAATCCTTCGGCGCGAATGACGTCCTTTCGTTACAAAGTCTAGTGTCAGAATGAATGTGAGGCGACACAAACGTCGACAACTTAGTAAGGGCAGTGTTGAGTCAATACACTGGCTCATTTCCGGATTTTATTCATAACAGTACATTAGTTTCAACACAAAATGCACAGATTTGTCAAAGATTTTGTTCTTTATTGCCTGCTAAATTATTATTTTAAAACATAATGATACATTCTGCCAAAGAAGTGGCATACTGGTCAGTTAGCTTTTGACTTTTTTTAATTCTTTTAAAAAGAAAGATATAAAACAGAATTGCGCGGGAACATCGAAATGTTGTCGAGAATATTGATAAATTTATTTATGGTCATCTTACTAATATTATAAATGATAACGTTTGGATAGATTGATGGATGAATGAATGTATGTTTGTTTGAAGGTATCTCCAGAACGGATGATCGGAACTCGATGGAATTTGGTATTAGATGTAGAACATAGTCAGAAAGAACACAAAGGCTACTTATTAAGTTTTTTTTTAATATCGCACGGACAGACAGCAAGTATGTATAAATTTTTATATAAGTATGGTTAAGAACGAAACAGACGCATTTTGACAGCCGTGGTGCTGTTATCATTTTATACAACCCTAGCATAATAAAAACCTAACTAAATAAACACACTTTTATAAATTTTAAATATTCGTAAACAAAATAAAAATAATAATTGGTTGTAAAATAATAATAATAATTTCGATATTTAATAAAAAAAATAATAAGGTCTCCATAATTCTGATGACAAATTGGTTCAAAATTAGTCTAGGAGTTGCCACATGACAATTCCGCGTCTTGTACCCGACTGTCTGACGAGCAAAAAACACACTTCTTTGAATATTAATGAACGTAATTGTTATGTTACGCTAGCAAATTCGATTCAAAGAAATAAAAACATGATTACATTTTTAATTTATTGTGGTATTTGATATTTAATTATATTACAAATCTATCTTACTAATATTATAAAAGCGAATGTTTGGATCTTCGAAACGGCTTAACCGCTACTAGCAGTGCGAAATGGCGAAAATCAAATAGGCACAAAAAACTACGTCTAAAAGCCAATCCATTTATAGAGTTTAGTGTTCATCACAGATCTGACAAAGATGTGGTGGCCAGTACTTTGTGAATAAGGCGCGTCTGGACAAAATATGTGTCAGTATGGCAGTGAAAGTTTGTAAAACACATTAGGACAGCAATTGCATCACTTACCGTGGGTTTCTGATACTCAAATTCCAGTTTAAAGAAAGAAACAAATTGTTAGACGGATAACTTATATAATTTTATATTAATATCTTATTTCATCTACCAACTGTATCTTTCAATCTTACTAATATTATAAATGCGAATGTTTGGATGGATGTTAGAAGATATCTACAGAACGGCTCGAATCTCGATGAAATTTGTCATAGATGTAGAACATAGTCTGGAAAAACACGTAGGCTAATTAAGTTTTTTTTTAATTCCGCGCGGACGCAGTCGTTTGTGACAGTTAGGTTAAATATAAAAAAGTAAATATAAATTAAATTGTTTATCATATATATAATATTTTTAATCAGGATTTGCATTTTCTAGTCTAGTTTTTTATCTTTAGACCTAATTAGAATTAATCCTATATGAGTATAAATGCTGAGGCATTTTACCTACGGGTAAATGAAAGTTGGATGTCTGTAGACGACTGTGCGAGAAGGATAAGTAGATATAACAAGCGTGTGTATGAAAGAGACAAAAAATGATTGAAGAGAATCCAATGTTGCGCCTGTCTGAACTTTCTAACTTCCCTGGTTATAGAGATATTTGAGTAATGCAAAATGAACTTTAACTGTACAAGGATAAAGTTCATATTACTGTTGGAAAGTAATTGTTTTAAACGACGACATTTAAACGTAAAGCGCGCGAGAGACACGAACTTTAATGGCCGAAACTAATAATTGATCCTTTAGGTCGAACCGAGTATTTATTGTACCAAAAAGGGATCGATAGTCCACAAAAAGATAGATCAGATTTTTCGATTTTTATTATTATGTTTAGTTATTGAATCCAATGGATTATTATTGTTAATTTTTCTGACCATGACTTCCTGAGACCATAATCTCTATAAAACACATCATTATCTTTGACAAAACAGAGATATGTTTTAAACCTGGAATGTGGCTTCAGAAATCCACGGTAACAAATCTATTTCTTTTTTTACAGATCTATTCGCGAGAAGAAAAGATGTTAAGCAAATTGACGAAAAGTTAAAGTGTTTTAGAAAATAACATTGAAAAATGTCAGAGGCAACAGAAAAAGGAAAACAAAAAATGTCACCATTCTTCAGACAGGTTAGTAATAATTAAAATATACATAAAAATTAATAAAATAATAGTAAAAACTTATTTTAAAACTTATAATGAAACTATTTGCCAACTTATGGATACAGTTATTACACACTAAATAAAAAAAGAAGCTTTTTAATTGCCCGCGTAAATCAGCTTCCTGTCAAGTCCTGTCAAAATCGATCCAACCGTTCTGGTCTTACCCGTAACAAACAAGATCCTACGGGCAGACGGACGGACAAACATTTTTAATAATGGTTTTTGATATCACCTACGCAAATACTATATGTTTTTTTTTCGTTATTACATACAGACATTAAAATTTTATTGTGTATACATAAAATAAGATTTCTCAAAACTTCAATATCCCTTTGAATTATTTTGGTATTCGCGTTGATTACTTTCTCTTGAGTAATTCGATTAGATCTTGTTAAGGTAATTTAATTCTTCGTTTATACTGATGGCAGTTGGTGGCTGTGAGCGGCGTGGTGCTGTACATGATCGGCACCGGCGCCAACATAGCGTATCCCGGCGTGCTGCTGCAGCAGCTGCGTCTGCCAGACTCCGTCATGCATCTTACGCCAGAACACGAGTCCTGGATAGGTAACCAACATAGCACGAATCTTGTTCATATTGGTCCATTGGAATACTGGCGATAAACGCATACAAAAACCAAAGCAAATTACTCCGATTATACAGAGTTATAAGGCAAATTACAGTCAGATTATTATCGTATTAGCTGTCGCCCGCGACTCCGTTCACGCGGTAATAAAAATAAACTATTGGTCGCAGCGTAACGTTATATAGCTCCAAAAATGGACTATCCGACAAAAAAGAATTTTTCAAATCGGACCAGTAGTTCCAAAGATTAGCTCGTTTAAACAAACAAACAAACTCTTCCGCTTTATAATCTTATATATAAAATTCTCGTGTCACAATTTTCGTTCCCATACTCCACCGAAACGGCTTAACCGAATCTCATGAAATTTTGTGAGCATATTCTGTATGTCTGAGAAACGGCTACTATGTATTTTTAATCCCGCGCGGACGGAGTCGCGGGCGACAGCTAGTATTAGTATATATATATAATTATATAAAGGTCATATTATATTACTATTGCTATTACGAGTCACGTTGTAAAGTCATGTTGATATAATGACATGGAGACTGAATGTGACATAAAAAAACAATACATCGACCTTTATTTATATTATGAGGATTGGATAAACGATGTCACGTTTTAAGATCGAGTTTTTATATGTCTTAGTACTTTGAACACGAGGCTAGTAGTTGTCTATAACCTAGTCATCCTTAGGGTGGTCTCCGAGCCCCTCGACGGGGACGTCTAGTGAGTTTATGATGATGAAAGCTTATAAGAAATATTAAACGGTTAAAAAAGAATTAATAATAAGCTATTGAAAAACACTATTACTTCATACCTGTATGTCAATAAAATTGTGGGTCTCTTTACTTTTTATTTTATTAGAGAAGGGGGTAAAACGAGCAGCGGGAACACCGAGGTGTTCAACACTACTTCTAATTAGGGTTGTTTTGGCTTTCGACTTTTGATATTGTCAATTGCATAAGTTCCCTTTTTCAATACATTGGCCGCGAAAGCTATAGTGCTAGCTTAATCGCATATTGTGGGTTTCTAAAACCAAAAACTCTGTATAAAACATATCGTCATCCCTGTCATGTCATTATCTTTAACAAAACAAAGATAACAATTTTATACGGGGATTTTGGTATCAGAAACTCACGTTTAGTTTAATAGAAGTCTAACTACCGTTAGGAGGAAAGTCCGACACTGTGCCGGTTTATCGGCGCAACACTAGCCTTATTAAAAGTCGACACTAATCATTCTGACACTTGACTTTGTAACGAAAGCACTTCTAAAACTATTGATGTTTATATTTCCAGCTTCAATCCTCGGCCTGGCTCTCATCTCTGGTATTTTGGTGGCGCCATTCAGTCTTCAGAAGTTAGGTCGGAAGCTCACTAACCAGTTGAGCACGTTGCCTGCTATGGGTGGCTGGGCGCTGCTGGTGGCTTCTAAAGGACCGGCCGCAATCCTAGCTAGTAGATCCTTGCAGGTAAAAACTTTTTTTTTGTTGGAACAGGCAAAACGAAGTTTCTAATTTTGTAAATCTTACTTATGTAAAACAATCCAAAAATTACAAATATTTTTTGGAACTAAGTACAGTCAGCTGCTAAATATGAATACACTGGCTGTCGTCTTCAACTCCATCCATAAGTAGCCTATGTGTTCTTCCAGACTGCTACATCTACGCCAGATTTCATCGACATCGATTATAATTGGTATAGATGTAGAACATAGTCTGGAAGAAAACGTAGACTACTAATTAAGTTTTTTTTTCATATCCCGCCGACAGAATCGCGGGCGACAAATAGTGGATCCATATGTAACAGCTGACTGTACCTAGTTAAAAAAATAATTTGCAAAATCCTACATTTTCTATTCCAGGGTTTTGCTATGGGTCTTCAAGCTGCAGCAGCACCGGTGACTATCGCGGAGTATTCCTCACCGAAGTACAGGGGAGCCTTCCTCGCGACTATCGCCTTTTCATTTGCTACTGGTATGCTGGTGGCACACATTTTTGGCACACTTCTCTATTGGAGAACTGCAGCAGTTGCTTGCGGAAGCTTCTACTTTTTTTCTCTCATACTCATCTCAATATCACCAGAGACTCCACCATATTTAGCTGCTAAAGGGAAGAACAACGAATGTCGCAAATCATTTCGATGGTTTAGAGGGAACGATGAAAATTCCCAGAAAGAATTAGAAGTTTTATTAAACAGTCAAAAGAAGAAATTAACACCAAAAGTTGCTAAATTCACTTTCTACAGACAGATGATAACTAAACCTGAATTTTATAAGCCGACCGTCATCATGATGTTCATGTTTGTGCTATTTCAAATATCTGGAATGACTGTTGTACCATCTTACACTGTTCCTATGATGGAAGATGTATCAGGTGGTACTATCGAGGCTTACACCAGTATGCTTATGGTTGACGTCGTCAGATTTGTGACGGCAATCATAGCTTGCGTTGTTGTAAACAAATTAAAAAGAAGAACCGTTCTTTTCTTAGGAATTATAATCAGTGTTATATCACTTTTGACCGCTGCATTACTCCTTTATTTACGAGATTTCGGATATATTGCTGAAGAATATAAATGGACCCCTGTTGTTCCTACACTTTGTTACATTTTTGGTAAAACCCTCGGCATCTTACCAATACCTTGGGCGATCGCTGGTGAAATCTTTCCCCTGGCATACAGAAGTATTGGCAGTGGTATTTCTGGAATGTTCCTTTCTGTTATGTTCTTCGTCGTTGTTAAAACCGCACCGACATCGTTCAGACAAATTGGGATTAACGGGACATTTTGTGTTTATGGTATTAGCATCGCTATTTGTGGGGTTTTCTTGTTCTTTCTATTACCAGAGACAAAAGGGAAGACTTTGTACGAGATTGAATGTCACTTCCGTGGAGAAATAGAGAAAGAAGTGTGCGAGAGGGACATGATGTTGGAGCTGCGGAAGGTGGAAGAGGGTTGAGGAGGAGAACGGGGAACAGAGGAAATGCTTTCCAGCTCTTGGGCTGGCCCCGTTGGCAGGAGGAGAATATCGGCTAATCGTAGTTTTAATTAGTGGAACAAGGAGTCTTTTGACAGCGACAATCTCGTTAAACAACGTCTGTTTTAACCCAAGGGTTTTTTTTCGCTATTTTAAGATTTCTTGTTTAATATTAAATAAAGATGACAGTTGACAGGTATATAATACAACTATGTAAAATCTTTTTTTAAATAAACATTTATTTACTTTAATGTTATTTAATTTGACTACATAAATCATAATTAAAAAGCTTAAGAGAGTTAGCACAGTGCATAGTTTCTCATCAGCTCACTATACGTCCCTATTGAGGAGCTCGAAGCCAACCCTAAGTTAGGTGACTAGGCCATAGTCAACGCTGGTCCAGTGCAAAACTTCACACATATCTTTGAATTTCTTCACAGATATGAGCAGCATCACCATGTTTTCCTTCACCGTAAGAACGTAGGATAGATAAATGTAAATCGAAAAACCCAGGACCTGCAGATTTCAAGTGCTTAACCCAAGAGCCAGTTTGTCTGCCATAAAGTTCAATTAATCGTCATATCTGTATAAAGTCATATCCTCTCGTATTTCATAAATACTTTCTTCTCTCCCTTTGTGTACCTCTTTGCTTTCTTTATGCCCTCGTTAATCTACAAAAATCTTACTAACATTATAAATGTTAATTTTTGTTTGAAAGGATCTCCAGAACGGCTGAATGGATCTTTCTGAAATTTGGCATAGATGCAGAAGAACACATAGGCTACTTATAATTTTTAATTACGCGTGGTCGTCAGCTTATTAGGAATAAAACCAACCAAAGCTCTATGTAACATCAAAATAAAAAAATAACAATTTATTTTAAAATAATTTATTAAACCAATAACATTTCAATATTCATGAGAAAATACCACAAATGTATTTACATTTTATTCACAGCCTTAATTTACAAAAAAGAAATATTGCTACAATTTCAAAGATATAGAAATCACATTCGATTCAATAACTTTATCATACAACACAAGCAAAAATAAATAGATTCGTGTTTTAGCTAATTAGTGGGTTTCTGAGCCCAATATCCCCGATTAAAACCTATGATCTCTGATTTAACAAGGATGACGATTTATGCAAACATTTTTGTCTCAGAAACAATTAGTAAAGTATATGAGAACTACATCTACGCATTTCAGTAATTACTTTACCATTCAAAGGTTCCGCATTCCTGTAATCTTCCGCCGTCCAACCTCGAAAACTATTTTCTATATCTTGTAGTGTCCTATCTTTTGTCTCCGGCATCAAGAAATAAATAACTATAAGACATATAACAAGAATACCAGCGTAAAGACAATAAGTTACTGGTAAACCAACCGTACCAATCAACACGGGGAAGGATTTCACAGCAACGAAGAAATTCAAAGACAAAGCCCAAACACTAATACCACCACCCAATCCACGATATTCCAACGGAAATATTTCCCCAGATATAGCAAATGGTATCGACGATATTCCTATTGTTAAAGAAAACATATAAATTCCTATTAAAAATAAAGGTATCCATTGATTATCGTAAGGTAATAAATCATTTTGTTTACAATATAAATAACCTGCTTTACCTAAATAAGATAAAACACAAATCCCAGCTGTACTAAACAGTAGAGTTCTTCGTTTCATTGTCTTCATGAGGAATACAGCTAAAAGATTACAAACCAATCTCTCAACGTCTAAAGCTACCATAATGACTTTAGCATTCGCATCTGGCCCAATCAATTGATGTACTATGTCCATGACGTATGAACTTAAAACGTTAATTCCAGCGAATTGGAACATCGTATACAAGAGAAACATTATTAAAATAGGCTTATAGAACTCAGGTTTTTTAGATGTTTTACATAAATAATTAAATAATCTTTTAACTCGTTCACCAATCGCTTGTTTCTCTTCTCCAATACTAGATTTTCTCGCTGACTTTTGTGCTGCGATTAAATCTTCCAATTCCATTCTTTGTCTGTCATCTTTTCCTCTCAACCAGAAGAATATTTCGCTTCCTTTTTCATAACGTCCTTTGGATATCAACCAAGAAGGAGATTCTGGAGCGTGGATAATTAATATCAAACTTATGAAAGTAATAAATGAGCAAATAAGTGCGTTCTGTTGCCAACTGAAGTATGTGCCCAATGCGTGAGAGAAAAGGACACCGATAGTGAGAGAAAGAGAGACGCTAGTTAAAAAGGCGCCGCGGTTCTTTGGATCTGTCATTTCTCCAATAATGATCGAGCCGAGAGGTCCTAACATGCCCATGGCTATTCCTTGGAGGAATCTGGCGATGATGAGACCTGCCACATTGTTCACCATCAGCAGCATGAACCAGCCCGTCATGTTGGGTAGGATGGTTAGCAAGTGCGACTTCTTTCTGCCTAATGTATCCATCAACGGTGTGATGATAAAATTTCCAACTATAAGCGCGAATCCGATGATAGACGCTGAAATAATAAAAATTAATGAGTATTTCTCTATCAAATGTTCTGTGTTCTATAAAAATTATAACTGCAAATATCTTTTTTCATTCTTATACAAGTAATAATTTGACTAATTAATATACAGAACTCGTGGCTGTTTTTGTAGCCTCTATAAAAATATTCTCACCTATCCATGACTCCTGGCTAGGTGTAGCGACGATAGGTGAGTCTGGACTGCGCAACGCGGGAATCAGCACGGCCGCGTACCCTATAACCGCGCCATGGCCCACAATGTTCAGCGCCACGCTCGCCGTCACAAAGCACTAGAAAAAGTATTAAATTGTATACAACGCCATCTAGTGCCAAGCGCAATAACTTTAATTTTAATTAGAGGTTATATATTAATTTAAGCTGACCTCTACAAATATTAATCAAATTGAAGTGTCTGTATGTATATAGAGAAAAATGCTGGACTGTTTGACGTGAAAGTTAGCTGATGAACGCGGGCATATTATATGGTACAATTTTTTTTATCTGCACAGAAAGTTACGCGGGTTACCGCTTGTATAAAATAAGACTTAAAGGACACATGGCTATTTAAAACGTTATCTGAATAAGCAATAACAATCGACACAAAACAATGCAAATATTAGCATTGCACTTCAGTTTGTCGCAAAATCTCTGATAACATTCAACACGCGCCAAACATAGACATAATTGATTTGGTATTAATCGAGTATTTACATCTAGTACACACTCAAAAAATGCCTTGACCAAAAAAATCAATGCAATTATTTGCTCAAGGAGCTTTACAATTTTGATAATCATGCTAAAAGATCTTTATCTCTTAATATCTAGACATTTTTAACATAAATGTATACGAAGCAATTAAAAATAATACAAAGATTTAAATGTAATTATTGTTTAATATGTTTAACAATATTTAAACGTATTATTCAACGTAAACAAAAGAATTAAAACGTACACACTAAAAGTTTAAGTCAACTGATTTCCAATTTCTAGATAAATGTAATTTGGCGCGCAATTCATTTGAGGTTATGTTATGTGTCAAATAAAATTAAACACATTTAACACTTGAACACGTTACAATGTCTGTTTTGACACTCGAAAAGTATCAACGTAATTAATAATTATGACTTTAATGGCTTGTTATCAACAATCTCACGGCTCAATGTCTTCTAGATTCTAATGTGCGATAAACATCGCTACGTCAAGGTTAAACTATCGTTTTTTTAAATTACACGATAGATAAAGATGTCTAGTCTATGATACATTGATTTTTTAATCTTACACTATTTAGTTTAAACACTTTTATTATAGTCGTTGGCATTTACGAGATAGTTATAATAAAAATATGGAATATTGGTCAACATGCATCTTTTAAACTTTGCATATAAATAATTTTGAAGATTAAAATTGAAATGACATCACGACACCTTTGATTTATTCAATCTAAAGCTCGCTACACACCTTTAGTTACTGTACAATTTAAATTGTAACGAAAATATAAAAATGAACTACGGCTTTACACGCCGCCATAGAGTCTCGGGCACCGACCGCCTAGTCACTTGTCAAATAAATTACATAGGCTTAGGTATATAAATATAGTAATTTACAAAGTTGAACAATTTAAATCTTATCAAAATATCGATAACTAACTTAGTAACAAGATTTGCAAAATCGCTAATTTTTTCTTAGATATTAAATTATCTTTCATTAACATATTACGTATTATTAATTAATAACCATGAAGTGCAATAACGTATAGAATAAATAGCGGCCTATTTTATCCTCTTTAAAAAAAAAAAACAATTTTTAAGTTATGTCACTTCTAAACATCTCTGATGTTCCATCGCTTCATTATTACAAACTTTAATTTATACAAAAAAAATAAACGAAATCTTTTTTTTTTATTTTTATAAATTTTAGGCAAAAGATCTTCAAATATCCAAATTAATTAATTTTCACTGGCTCCAAAGTAAATTATCGTATGCCGCTATTTAGCTTTTTGTATTATACAGTTTAAAATTTGAAATGCGGTTGAATGAATCATAATATTGTTAAAGTTCAGTGCTGTAAAATACGTGTCAAATTACATTTATTAAAATATTTTAATAAAACGAAATTATATAATAGAATAGCTCCTAATTAATTTAATTCAATAAAACATTAAATATATTAATAACAGTTCATTATTTATTTAACACATAAATTTTTTATTTATTCAGCTAAATAAAAAAAATTATTAATAATCAAACTTTTTTAAACATTACCTTTTTTGTAGCCGCCGTTAAATTTTAATTTACAATTTTTATAGTATTATTTAATATTCCAAACTCAAATTTTAGCAAAAAAGCTCACAATATGTAAAATCTCAAAGACTTTTGCCTTTTTGTTTTTTTTTCAATGATAACGTAACAGATTATAAATCAAGCTTACCTGCCGTAAAAATGGCATATATTTCGACTCGTTTTTACTCATTTTTACACTAACGAACTATCAAAGTTGAAACATGATATTTTTGTTTTTTTTTCACGTTAAGAGTTCCGATCCGTGTAACAGGTTGTAGGATTGTGTCGTATCTCAAGACTTAAATGATATCCACACGATAGAATAGTGTGAGATTAGATTAATTGTTATTTGTTCACTTTTAATATCAATGCAATGATAACTTGCAATGTGACGCAAACGTTTGACTTAACAGGGGAAATAGACAAAAGAATTAAAAATATCTTTTAAACATTCAATGATTTAATCACTTTGGTAGATCGAAATAATTTATAAATTACATTTTAGGTCCAAAGACACATTTTATTTAGATAGAAGTTATATTTATTCACGCGTTTTACTTAAATCATAAGCCTCAAAGCTTTAAAAATAATTAGAATTTATACTTTGTGTGGTATAGTGTGTTTCTTCCATACTGGATATATTTTTTTGCAAATTTTAGATTTATTCTCGATTAGTTAGTTAGAATCGATTAGTCAACTAATAAATCTATAATAATTTCTTTGTTGTTTTGTTGGCGAAAACCCATGAGGAAAATTGTTCAACCTTTTTAATTGCAACTAAAGGCCAAATCGGTTGTCATTTTTGTATTTATTGCATTTGTGACGTCATGTCTTTTGGTGATCGTAGATTGCATTTGGCAAATTGATTTATTTATCGACATATTATAATCCTGCAATAATGATGTAAGCTGCAAGCTACTGGTTTTTAATTTCCAATTAACGAGTCGAAACAAGATAATTTATCAAGAAATATTAATCAAATTTAAAGCTGATATGATAATGCTGAATATTTCAGCCCTCTTCATGTCATTGTATAATAAAATTAATTTTAAATAGTTTCTAAGCTATTTTAGGTTTAATTTTTTTACTTCAAATAGATTTGAATGTTTCTTGTAACGCTGACCACACACATTAGGTTGTTTTGTAGTTTTAAAAGCAAAAAATATGGTAAGGAATACGAAAATAAAACAAAGCTTTTAAACTATTATTATTATTTTTTATTTAATAGAGGATGATTACAGACGATTCAGCTTAAAAATAAATTATCAGTCTTCAGGTACCTATTTCAAACTTAAAAACAAATATCACAAATTATTAAAAATACTGATAGGAATTAAATTTCAAATCGAAATTTAAATTTAATCTACTTCCTCCACGGTGGGTCCACTGTTTCGGTTTCCGTACATGCCGCCCGGGTAACCACCTGGCATACCACCCGGCATACCGCCTGGATATCCACCAGGCATTCCACCATGCATACCGCCCGGCATTCCACCAGGCATTCCACCAGGCATACCACTCTGTGCACCGCCGGCGCCGCCATGCATCTTTGTCATGATGGGGGAGCAGAGGCGCTGCAACTGCTGCAGGCGGTGCTCGTACTCCTCGCGCTCAGCCAGCGTGTTGTTGTCCAGCCACTTCAGAGCATCGTCGCATTCGCGTCGTGCCGTGCTCTTGTCATCCTCGCTCAACTTGTCTCCCGCATCGTCCAACGCCTGCTTCACACTGAACACGTACGACTCCAGCTGGTTGCGGGCGGCGACCCTCTGCCGCTGCTTCTCGTCTTCTTCTCTGTAGCGCTCCGCCTCAGACAGCATGCGATCGATGTCGGCTTGCGACAGCCGTCCCTTGTCGTTTTTGATCACGATGTTCTTGCTGCGGCCCGTGCTGTTCTCCTTAGCGGACACGTTCAGGATGCCGTTGGCATCCAAGTCGAAGGTGACATCTATCTTCGGCACGCCGCGCGGTGCCGGCGGGATGCCGGTTAGGTCAAACGTGCCCAGCAGGTTGTTATCCTTGGTCATAGCGCGCTCGCCCTCGTACACCTGGATGGTTACCGCTGGCTGGTTATCAGAGTACGTGGTGAAGGTCTGGCTTTGCTTGCACGGGATCTTAGAGTTGCGCTCGATGATCTTGGTCATCACTCCACCGGCGGTCTCGATGCCGAGAGACAGTGGCGCCACGTCCACCAGCAACACGTCCTGTATCTTAGAGTCCTGCTCGCCGCTGAGGATGGCGGCCTGCACGGCTGCACCGTACGCCACGGCTTCGTCTGGGTTGATGGACAGGTTTAGCTTCTTGCCGCAGAAGAAGTTCTGCAACAAACTCTGCACTTTCGGGATGCGGGTGGATCCACCCACAAGCACCACATCGTGGATCTGGCTCTTGTCCATCTTAGCGTCCTTAAGAGCCTTCTCGACGGGTTCCAGGGTACCGCGGAACAGGTCAGAGTTGAGCTCCTCGAAGCGGGCTCGGGAGACTCGTGTATAGAAGTCGATGCCTTCGTAGAGCGCGTCGATCTCGATGGTGGCCTCGGTGCTCGAGGAGAGCGTGCGCTTGGCGCGCTCGGCGGCTGTACGCAGGCGACGCAGTGCGCGCGGGTTCATTCGCAAATCTTTCTTGTACTTGCGCTTGAACTCATCCGCGAGGTGGTTCACCAGTCTGTTGTCAAAGTCTTCGCCTCCCAGGTGTGTGTCGCCGGCCGTCGCTTTCACTTCGAACAAGGATCCTTCGTCAATGGTCAGGATTGATACGTCGAAAGTACCACCGCCGAGGTCGAATATCAGCACATTGCGCTCGCCCTTCAGGTTCTTATCCAAGCCGTAAGCCAGCGCGGCGGCTGTGGGCTCGTTGATGATACGCAACACATTCAGGCCGGCGATAGCGCCTGCGTCCTTAGTAGCCTGCCGCTGCGAGTCGTTGAAGTAAGCCGGCACTGTGATAACAGCTTCCCGCACCGTGCCGCCGAGGTAGGCCTCCGCGGTCTCCTTCATCTTTGTCAGCACCATGCTGCTGATCTCCTCCGGCGCGAACCTCTTCCTCTCACCCTTGAACTCCACCTCGATTTTGGGTTTTCCGCTTTCATTGACAACTTTAAACGGCCAATGTTTCATGTCTTGCTGAATCTTGGGGTCATCGAATTTGCGTCCTATCAGCCGTTTGGCGTCGAACACTGTGTTGTTGGGGTTGAGGGCCACCTGGTTCTTCGCCGCATCGCCGATCAGCCGCTCCGTGTCGGTGAACGCTACGTACGATGGTGTTGTCCTGTTGCCTTGGTCGTTGGCGATGATCTCCACGTTTCCATGCTGCCAGACTCCAACGCACGAATACGTCGTTCCCAGATCTATTCCAATTGCTGGCATTATTATATTGATTTATTCACTTCTTGTATATGAATACAATAATATTTTGTACTGCTTGTAAACAACTCCGGTAAACACCGAACTCTTCTCTTCGTCCTCTTTGTATCGCGTTTCAAATTTGACTGACTTGCCGCGCCGGCCGCCGCGCTTATATATTGAACCAATCAACTTCTCGAAACGTCGCGAAGCTACGGGAATCAACCAATAGAACGTTCTGGTGTGACGTCAACAACGATTCAAAACGATGAGTTAGAAAGAGACAATATGAGTATAAGTCAGAAACGAGGTTATGGGGATACCACACCTAAAATTTTTACCGTAATTTTAGAGAAATTGTGTAAATATTTTTTTTTCACTTTACCTTTTGCCATTAAATTTAAAAATTTACAAAACCGTGATATCTTAAGTAACAGAGTTGAACGTATTGAATAAAATTATATAAATTCGCCCGAGACTCCGTCTGCGCGGTATCAAAATAAAATCAAAGTATTTTTTACATTTATGCCAAATTTTAGCAATCCATGATGGATCGCTAAAATAACAAACATCCATCTATCCATCTATTCATCCATCTAAACAATCGCATTTATAATATTAGGAAGATTAGTAAGGTATGAAAAGATTTGGCTTATTTGAAATTAAATCTATTTCATATTGATTTTCTTATTTAAGGTTTAAATTACCAATTTAAGTGGAATAAAATAATTATACTAATGTAACCATACGTTTACGAGTACATCACTTTGCCAAATTAAAGGTAAATAAAATAGGGAAATTTAAAACTTTATGTTGCCATACCACGGAACATTCTAGAACAATCGCGAATGTTCTAGGTCAGACCGTGCGAGCACAGTACAGACTCAGTGTGCGATAGAGACAAACATATATTGACGCAGAACCAAATAAGTTCTATCCTTTTCTAGAAATTCCCATAGGAATTATTTTTTTCCATGAAACATGGTGAAATTCGTTTTTTATTTGAACCTATTTCTTTTTATTTTCTTATGCCGTTAAAATGTTAAATCATTTATTTTTGGTTTTGTTTCTCTTTTATTATGAATACAGTTAGCAAAATATAGATGGCGTGATCCACAATTAATTAATTTTAAGGGCTTCTATTTTGATACATATTCTAACTTACTGCCGATTATTTTAAAGCAATATAATATACCTAATATGATTATATAAAACAAATAATTGACGGGAAACAGTTAGCAATATTACTAAGCTATACGTATTTAGTCTATAATTATTTAATTTCTCTTGCAAGTAGGGTTGGCAACAGGCAGGCGACTTGCCTTAATATTGCCGTAAGTTAAGCTAAAAAATTAAATTATAAAATCTTGTGTGCCGACACCATGTGAGCAGGATAAGGCCAGGGAGAGAATGATGATGATTTAAACTTTTCTTTTGTCTATTTGAACAAATTATAGTGTTTTTAGGTTCAATAGATAATAATCAGATTATCAACAGAAAAAAGTTTTATTTATAACATGATGTCGCCTGCTGCTGATTTATAAATAAGTTAATAAGTAGTCAATGTGTTCATCCAGATTATGTCCCACATTTATGCCTGATGTATGCAGCAGTTCTGGAAATACTTTTATTTTACAAATATCCATCCATCTATTTAAAAATCGCATTTATAACATTACTAGCGGTCGCCCGCGACTCCGTCCGCGCGGAATTCAGAGAAAAACATAATTAGTAGCCTATGTATTCTTCCAGACTATGTCCTACATCTAGGTCTTTCAGCGAGATCTATGCAACAGTTCTGGAGAAACTTTCTAACAAATATCCATTCAAACATTCGCATTTATAATATTTATAATTAGTAGGATTCTAGAAAATACGCGAGTCTTTCACAAACTCCATTCAAAATGGTTATGCGTACGCCGACATATTGTTATCATAGTAAAATGCGCTTAATT